CCTAGAGGTCATGAACAGTCATGAACAGCCGTTGGATGGGCAACAACCATGAACAGTCATGAACAGCAAAGAACAACCTTGGACTTGGAGTATAACCCAGCCCTCGTCAGTTGCCCAGGCAACCTATCATAAATGTTCACTAAGGATCCAGAGAATTCAAGTCTTTTCGACCTCCATGACAGGAGTCAGGCAGGGATACAGCGATTCAAGTTCCATCTGCCTGGTGGTGCCCCTCGTGTGGTTCGTATCAACGATCACGGATGCTCAGGAATACTTGAGCAGAGGAATAAACTATCTTGTCTTGTTGCTATTACCGAGTTGTTGGTAGCATTACCAAGAAAAAAGAGAACTAGGTAGGTTGGCATGAGATAAGGGGATATACGTAGGGTAAAGGTAAGGTAACACATTGGTCGACTCACTGTCAAGGCATGGGGGCAGTTCAGTAAACGATGAGGTCCTTGACGACTCCTATTCGCATGTAGAGGTAGCGATACGATGTAGTTCAAGCAATGTAGGTAGTTGAGGTAATATATCTAAAGGTAGACTCCTATCAATCAATTGCAACACCATTGATTCGCTTCATTCGACATACTCCTGAGACTTAACCATCAAGAAAGGTCCCATCAATTCCGTGCTTCGACTGATCCCATAGGTACTTGTCTCACTTCTCTGATGCCCGTATATATATGTCATTGTCCCATCTCCTTCCTCGCCTTGGACCCCCTTCCCCTGGCATAGCTCCCGTCCTGAACTGACCCCCCTAATCCTCGAGCTTAAACACCTCTCCCAAATCCTCCACCACGCGCGGTCGCCAGGAGTACTGGCTGACAGTTCGCAGGAATCCCTCTGTCTTCCTTTCCATTTTCTCCTTTCCCTCCGCCTGGAACTGCTGTGACTCCTCCATCGTGAAGCCATCTTCGTCATCGTCGCTGTCCTCAGTGGCGTGGGTAGGAATGGTGGCGAGAATTTCTTTGCTCCACTGGAAGTTGCGCTGAGGGGCGCTTCTGGAAAAGATATTGCGTCGGCGGGGAGGGTAAACCACGGGCACGGGTTGGGTGCTTGCTAGAATATCGTGGTCCAACTTCTTGGCAACGATCATGGTGGGAGAGTTGGTAGATGAGGTGGAGGTGTTTCCGGTGGGTGAGCTAGAAGGGAGGAGTTAGAAATTGCTAGACTTATAAGAGTAGATGGCATCTTCGAGGATAGACTTACTCTTCCAGATCAGATCCGCGGCCAGGAGCGCAAGTGACTTCGTCCTGCAGTGTTCTAATGCGCTCGTTGTCTAGGCTGAAAGCCTTGATGTCTTGAGTGCAGGTCGCAGTGTCGTTGTCGACAGGTGCAGTTGCAGGTATGTCGTCGCTCTTCAGTTCCTCGCCGTTCATGATCGTGATCGTGCTCTGGCCAGTAGGGCTGTCGAGGTTGAGATTCTTGGTCATTTCGATGACCTCGGCAACAGTGAGAGCGTGGCTGCAGGAGTAGGCTTTTGCCGGTGAAGTGATGGTAGGGCTTTGGCTGCTATCTCTCGGCGAGGGGATAGCCTCAGCGGAGTTGGCGGGCATCTCTACCCGGCTGTCGACCTTGCTGTCGGCCGTAGGGGTTACTGCAAGATCGTCAATGGCTTTGACAGCGCAGTCGAAAAAGAAATCGGTCCCCGTACCTTTGGGCAACGACATCTTGAAGGATTATGAATGCTCGTCTAATGTGTAAGTGTCCAGAAGACGGATGTTTGTATGGTGATAGAAGGATGTTTGGGGTAACTTGGGTGGTTGAGGTTTGCGCAGGTAAGATTTGGGATCTCAGATTTGCGATGCGGATGAAGACGGAAGTGGGAAGTGCAGCAACTGATTATTGGGTTGATAAACAATACTAGGAGAGGACCTAAACAGCTAGTCTGTAATGCGAGCTTGGAACCTTGCCGGCGGTGAAGCCGTGCTGGCAGCTGTCAAGATGCCGAAACCTTGAGGCGTCAACAGCTCCTTGGTTGCTGTGGTGACCCCAAGGTTCACGACCGTCCGTTTGTTCAGGTTCTCCGAGTCAATTGTCTCGGTATCTCTGTGCCCTTCACTTGTTAGCCAACGAGATGGATGCGTCGGGGCCGCCGTTCCGCCAACTCATGAGACGCGAGTAGAAAACAGATGGGAGGGAAATGAGCAAGTACATGGCGGACTGCTTAGTATATAGAGTAGATTCGAGATATGTTCACGAACAGAAATCATCCCAGTGATCAGGAATTGCAGAGCAAGATGAACGTAGAAGTAGGAAAAAATGCAAGTGTTTCGCTCCATGAATATGCTCTAAAAGAAAAAAAACCCAAGACCAACCAATTGAACTCCATCCCTCAATAACCTACATCCAACGCCCGTCGTCAACCGGATTATATAACCCATAGCACATGCCCTCCGGCGTGGTCACCATCAACTTCGGCATCCCCGGTTTGTTCGGCGGGAGTCCCCAACGATCGGTCACCATCCACCAGTGGCATTTTGGCAGCCCCTCGGTCTCGGGAAAGTGCTTCCTCTGCCAGCTCTGCCACGTATCCAATCGTCCAAACTCGTCAATCATAGTTTCAGTCTTGCGCCAACGGCGGGCTGTGATCTTGATTTCCTCCTCCGGCTGTGGTGCCTCATCCTCGTCATCGACTTCTGCGTCGGAGTCCGAGTCCTACTTGGAGTCTCCAAGCTCAGAGTTGACTGCTTCGAGTTCGGCGTCGAGTGCTTCTATTTCCGAGTTTACAATTTCGAGCGAAGGGTCGGGGCTTTCGTCTGCCCGGTGATATTCGGCGAGGAGCGCTTCGTCATCCATCTCCAATTCTCTGTTTCCCCCGTTCTCATCCTCTTGATCCTTCTTCCAACCGAGGAAGTCTTGGAGTTCATGGTCTGTCATGTGTGTGAAACTGCCATCTTGTTCCAATATATACCAGAACCCGTTGTCGAGTTCGGCGTACTCAGTCCCATACTCGGGACGCTGCATGATCTGAAGAACTGCTGGCTGCCGATCATCACTGTATTGCGAGATGTCGAGGGACTGGTAAAAGGGTGAGGCGGGCTGACCTCCCTCTGGCGGCGCTGCAATATGCCGTTGTGCTGCTGTCAACCCGGTTGGCTTTGCGTTTCTAAATAAAATTAGCAAAGGGTTTCCCAGCAAGACATGCGAAGACGACTTACCTTTGCCTCTTGCGCTTGTAGTGAGGCTGGCCCTCGTGTTTGAGCTCGAATAAAGCCTTGCAGAGGGGTGAGTATGACATTCTGTCGACTGTATGAAGTGACAAATGGTTGTTGAATGGAGGTAACGATTGAGGAAGGGGCTCGATATGTGCCAGATGAGCGATCGAGCGAGGATGATGTCTGGTTTTGCGGGGTGCGAATCAGTGAGCTGTGTTGCTTGCTGCTTTTGGGTATACCTATGTCTGTCTTTTATGAAAGAAAGGCAGGATTGGTCGAAAGAAAAGTAGGTAGGCAAGTTGGCCTGCAGTAGTCGTTCTGGTGATGTCGAGTTTTGAAAGTCTCTTTGGAAAAAGTGCGAAGAAGTGTGAGAAGGCGGGAGGAAGTGATTGATCGATGTCGGGGTAGCAGAGACGCATAATAAAGTTCAAATGATTATTGGTTGTATAAATGCGGAACGTTTTTCGTCTTCGCAAGCTTCCCTTCAGATTTCAAATTCGAGATATCGGTGCAAAAAAAAGAGAAAGAAAAAGGAGGAGTTGATGACGAGCGCGGGTCCGAAGCGGGAGAATTTGTATTCCAACGCTCTTGCAAATTTTTTGGAAATTTTTTAAAAAGAAACTTGCCATCAGACATCCGCCCTTCACTGGTATCTTGGAGGCTTTGCTTGCAGCTTATGCATGATATATTGTCGTCCGCACATAAAGCAAGTCCGGTGAATTGGACGCCGATGCGCACTGCTTGCCGGGCCAGGCGCAAGGTTGTGTGAAGCTGGCGGACGCCCAAAAGTCCACGGAACCACTTGGCCACAGCTCTGCAGGTAAAGACAGTGAAGATGCCCGTACTTATCAGTAGGTAGGACCTTAATGAACTATTGACTGCTGATGCGGTGAGATCGGGGGTGCGCAGACGTCCCCGGCTCCGTTGAGGTTGGTCACGGCGGAGGTAGGTGGCCAGTGCTGCAGGTGGCGCTTCGGCCTGGCAATTGGATGCCGGCCCTGCAGCGAGCGTCAAGGTTCAGCAGGGACACTCACCCGCACAACCGCCTTGGAACAGGTTCGATAAGATATGAAGATCGGGAACAAACTTGGAAATGGTTCAGAGATCAGGATATGTGGCTTTCAGATTGGTTTGAACCATTTCAGATGACGATATATGCCAGTGTCCTGAGCCGTTCTGCGAAGTCGCGACCCTATCCATTCCGGTGCTCCTTCCCACCCAAAGCCTGCTGTAACTGCGCTGCATTTTAGCCCCAACACCACTGTAACTTGAGCCCCAGCACCCCTTGGGGGCCAGGGGCATCTTCACACCGACCTCCGCAGCTACGAAGTGGAAGCGCCGGACACGCAGGGCAAAAAAAACTTGTGCACCACCACCAACACAAAAAAATTGAAACAAAACTTGAAGTGCTTCTTATGTACAATCTGTCCCAACGCTGCATCGACCGGCCTGCGATATAAAAGCAAGAAGAAAAAATAGTGCATCCGAACTGGTTTCCTTCCGTGAGGGCGAACAAGGAGTTTGCGCCTCTGTCAAACATGATATGATTTCATGTCCTGTTTCCACTCGGAACAAGCATTATAACACGGAACATTGCCCACGACATCTCCATCCCCATTTGCATGAGCAAAGCACTCATCAAACAACCCCTAACGGGCAGGTCCAACTTGAGAGCCAAATTTAAAACAACAAAACAAAACGCAACGGGAGGCTTCCTCTTTGTTCGGTACATCGTGAATGCAAGGACCCCAGGTGGACGAGATAGAAGAAGCGGACTGAAAAGACAGAAAAAAAATTGTCGAAACTTTCCAACCTGAGCAACTTTGGAGATGTGTGTCATGACAAGAGTGGGATTCGAACCCACGCCCTTTCGGACTACGGATATGAGATATTTAACTCAAGATTAAGGGTTAACCTTAACGTAGCGCCTTAGACCGCTCGGCCATCTTGCCTGTTTGTTTGTTTGTTTGTTTGATGAAAATTTTCATGTGGTTGTGTGGGTTATGAGATGGGGTTTGTGATGGAGCGTTGGATGGAGCACCGGCTGGTGTTTTGGGCAGGGGAAGCCGGTCTGTTTTTTTTGGACCCTCTGCTGGAGAAGGCCGGAACGGGCAACTACAGAGGCAAGCGGGGCTTGTTAGCAAGCTACTGCTGCCAGGCCGGAAATGCGCATGGTGAGATAGTAAGACATCTAAGTTGCCTTCCTTGTCACTCACGATTGCGTGCAGCAACAAACGACGGAACTCACATCGGCATCCTATCTTCAACATCAAGCAACCATGTCAAACACAGGAATACAAAACAAGTGCTCGTCTGCTTCCCATGTCCAGGGTTGTTAGACTAATCAGTCAATTGCTATCTCACCACCTGGTACTCTATCGCCAATCTGTACCACCAAATGCTAAACTCCAAAGATGCTCGCTGACACTGAATGACAAAAATAGGGTATACGCTACGCTCAACAATGTTTTGACATCCCCTCCCAACGCTGCGAAAACAAACCAGAAGTACACAAAAATGAATGAAAAGCTAGATCCAAACCCTCCATCATGAAAAGTCCCAAAAGCTCTCTCGCCCTATTTTTTCGAAAATGGAGCCTCCAGGGGTCCCAACCTCGCCTTTCGCTAACAATTCCTGTTCAGGGATACTCGAAAGCCGTCCCTGGGAAATAAATCTTGCTCCGATGAGACCTGGTCAACAGATGCAGCAACTTCAGCCGCAGCTTCAGCTTGGCCAGCGGCTTTAGGTTGACTAGCGGCTTCTGTTTGACTATTAGCTTCCGTTTGACCATCAGCTTCAGCTTGACCAGGAGCCTCACATTGACCAGCACCTTCAGCTTGACCACCATCCTCAGTTTGGCCAGCGGCCCCATCCGCCGTTTCCTCAGTTTCCTCAGTTTCCTCGGACTCCTCCTGAACAATCGGAAGCGTTGGAGGTGCTGCAACATTCCTTTGCGCAACGGGAGCCTGCGAAGCGACCTGTTCTCCATACTCGCTATCCTTCTTGAGAAACTTCACCATCTTTTTCTGGACGGAAATCAAACCCTGTGGACTCAACACTGGCGGAGGCAGGCCGTTTTGTGACACGCTTGGCCTCTTGGGGTCGTAAAGTTGTCGAGGGGTGGCTCCTTGAGGATGTACCAGGGGCACAGCCTATGGCCCAGGAACCGCATCTTTGTGGACATATATAGGTTCCTCTTGCTGCAACGGAGGTCCTTGAGATTGGTTAAAACACCGAAATGGAGGTATATACAGGCCCGGTTGAGGTGATTGAGGTATGTACGAGCTTGGCTGAGGTGCATTCCACTGCGGTTGAGGCGCGTACGCTTGTCCTGGGTAGCCACTTTGAGAGGGCGATGTTTGGTAGTTGTTCGCCGATCCTGATTCCAGCGTACCTGTAGGCCCTTGATATGTGTTGAATTGTGGTCGAGTTACATTAGGGCCTCGTTGCGGTACATCCATCGTTGGTTCGGACCCGTACAATGGTCCTTGGTAGCCACTTTGAGACCGTGATGCTTGGTAGTTGTTTACCGATCCTGACGCCGGCGTCGCTGTAGACCCTTGAGATCGGTTGAATTGTGGCTGAGGTATACACGGGCCTGATGGAGGTTGGGACCCGTACATTTGTCCTTGGAACCCACTTTGATATGACGGTGTTTGGTGGTTGTTGGCCGTTCCAGATGCCGGCAAAACTGTAAGCCCTTGAGGCCCTTGTTGTAACTCTCGTGGAGCGGACAGTCGGGGAGGTGCACTGGTGCCAGTTTGTGGGTGTCCAACCATGGGAATTTCTGCAGGACTGTGAACAGGGACAGAGATTCCATTATAAAAGGTAAGTTTATGGTACCGACAATAGACCGAGTAGTGTGCCATTCCGCACGACTTGCAAATCAAAGCAGTACCCGGCATAAGTCTTGGGCTCGAACAGTGACAATCTGTAGTGCCTCGTCAGTATATATTTAACGCAGAAATGTACGGTTTTAAAGCTTACGTGGCGCGGCAGATAAATAATTGCACTGGCTGCAAAACACACCCACAAATGGCTTCGATGCCGGAGCTGCACGATCTGAACCTGAAGGTGGTGTCTGAAATGAAGGATATTGGTCCTGCTCGGGCGGATGACCCCAATCGGGATGTTCCAGGTCATGATCCTAATTGATGCGTCAAAAGATGCCAACAATATTCAATCGCTGGGAAAACTTACCTCGGGAACTCCTGGCATTGGATTGACAGTGGTTGGAACCCAACCAAGAGATGTACCAGCGTTCAATTGCGACTCCACCTCCTCAAACAACTGTTTCCTCTCATCTTGCGACTGTTTTTTCGCCTCTTGTTTTCGTTGGACTTCTTCCCATTCCGCCTGATCTTTTGCCAATTTTGCCTTTTCGACGGCAAGTTGCTTCTGCAGGTCTTCTTCAATAGTTCCTTTTACCATCTGAAGCTCCTCCTCTCTCAACTTCACATTTCGGTCCCTCTCACGAATACATTCCTTGATCTTCTCATCCAGACGTCGTGCCTCTTCACCATACTCCTCTGCCCTTTTCCGCATCTCGAGCCTCTTGTACGCCAGATTTCGTATTCGGAGCGCTGCATCATCGACCTCTGGTTTCGAGTCACCAAGGTTGGAAGTTGGCTGGCCAGCACTGGCTCCCTCCTTCCTTTCCTTACTCTCCTGATGTGTATTTCCACTCTCAGGAACTGGCTTGGGCGTTTCAGCTTCCATATGCTCATCGTCAGGTGCGCGTTCGGCTTCTTCACGCTCGTCCTTCTCGCGAGCAAGTCTTTGATGTTCACCATCGTCGAGTTGGCCTTTTCCACGTTCAGTTTCCTCAAGCGCAGCCTTCTCAAGCCCAGCTTTGTCAAGCTTGGCCTTTTTGTTTGCAGGCCGTTCTTGTTTTGATTTTGCGTGATCACTAGGTTCACCTTCAGCTTTCTCTTGTGCAATCTGCTCCTGCTCGGCCTGATCAAGTTCAGCCCTTTTACCTTTGGCCATCTCATGCGAGAGGCGCTCTTCCTTGGCCTTACCACCCTCGGCTTTTTCATTTTCAGTTTTATCACTTTCAACTTTTTGTTTTTTATCTTGCTTGCGCGCCTCTTCACGTTCGACCCGTTCACGATCAGCCTTTTCGCGCTCCTCCTTTTTGGCCTTCTCACGTTCGACCCGCTGCTGTTCGGCTTGTTCGGCTTTTTCTTGCTCAGCTTTCTCACGATTACGCTCAGCTTTTTCGCGTTGAGCTTTTTCGGTCTTCTCACGTTCGCGACGGTCCTTTTCGGCTTTTTCGCGCTCAGCTTTTTCGGTCTTCTCGCGTTCGAGCCGGTCCTTTTCGGCTTTTTCGCGCTTAGCTTTTTCGCGCTCAGCTTTTTCTGTCTTCTCGCGTTCGAGCCGGTCTTTTTCAGCCTTTTCACGCTTAGCTTTTTCGGTCTTCTCGCGTTCGAGCCGGTCTTTTTCAGCCTTTTCGCGCTCAACTTTTTCGTTCTTCTCACGTTCGAGCCTGTCTTTTTCGGCCTTTTCACGCTTAGCTTTTTCGGTCTTCTCGCGTTCGAGCCGGTCTTTTTCAGCCTTTTCGCGCTCAACTTTTTCGTTCTTCTCACGTTCGAGCCG